ACTTTTGATAGAAGTAACTAGTAATGTAACTAAGTTACTATTTTAAAGTATCTTACCCAACACTGGTAATAAGAGATTTGCAGATGTGGAAAAAAGTGAGGTAAGGTGGTGCAACTAAAAAAAAAGAGTCTATCATTAAAGCACTGTGTTCTTAGTCTGATATGAAGGAATCTATTGGATCAGAATATCTCATTTTTTAACCGAAAACCTTTTGTGCCAGTCTTGGTAATCGGGGATCAGTCCGCCAGGACCTCTGCTCCTGGCCGCCGCCCGGCTCACAATACAGCCAACCCCTACGGTGCCTCCTGCGGGTGGTGGGCCAGCAGGAAGATGGGCCGATGTCCCTTTTTCGGGCTGTGCCCAGCCAGGCCCCATGGACTTAGGCCTAGCCACCAGATGCTCCGCAAACAGTCTTAGTTGATTAATGTGCCCATTTGTGATACTGAAAACTATTTTGACTCACAGGGAGGTAGTACACTTTAGCTTCAGACTACTTTCAACCTATCTTTTACAAATATAGGCTTCAGATTTTACGTGTTTTGATTTTGTATTTGAGGTCAATATAAAATTTAGACATTATACAGTAAGTTAAGAAACTGTATGTGCGCTATATTGCCAAAGTATTCACTTGTCTGCCTTAACACGCATATGAATTTGAGTGACATTCCATTCGTAATCCATAGGGTTTAATATGATGTATGCACACTCTTTGCAGCTACAACAACTGCAACTCTTCTGGGAATGTTTCCAGCAAGGTTTAGCAGTGTGTTTATGGGAATTTTTGATCATTCATCCAGAAACACATTTGTACGACGAGAAACTGATGTCGGACGAGAAGGTCTGGCTTGCAGTCTCCGCTCTAATTCATCCCAAAGGTGTTCTGTCTTGGTATGCTGACCCGAGCCCAACTCGTCCAAAATGTCTTTCCTCCTGAAAACAACCCCACACCTCCTCCACCAAACGTTACACTTGACACAGTGCAGTTAGACAAGTCCCGTTCTCCTGCAAACTGCCAAACCTAGACTCATCCATTGGATTTCCAGACTGAGAAGTGTGATTTGTCACTCCAGTGACCATGTCTGCACTGCTCCTGAGTCCAGTAGTGGCGTGCTTTACACCACTGCATCCAATACTTGGCATTGCACTTGGTGACATAAGTTGCTCGGCCACAAAAACCTCTTCCATGAAGCTCCCAACGCACTGTTCTTGAGCTTGGCCACATGAAATTTGGAGGACCTTGGCGACTGACTATGAAGAAAGTTGGTGACTTCTGCCCACTATACTCCTCAGCATTCGCTGACACTGCTCTGTGATTTTACATGGCCTGTCACTTTATGACTGAATTGCTGTCATTCCCATTTGCTTCCACTTTATTATAATACCAGTAACGAGTTACTGTGGAATATTTAGTAGCAAAGAAATGTCATGACTGGATATTATTAGCTGAAATCCTATCATGGTACCATGCTGGAACTCACTGACCTCCTGGGAGCGATCGATTACTTGTTCGTAGAAGCAGTCAGCATGCCTAGGTGATTGATTTTATACACCTGTGCCCATTCAAGTCATTGGAAGACCTGAATTCATTGATTTGAATGGAAGACTTTATACTTTTGGTTATAAAGTGAATCATGGAATAAAAAATGTAAAGTACTGTGCAACTTTTTAGTGTACATGCGAGTAAGCTAGCTGCACATTTTATGTTGAAATAAAAATCATCATATCTGTATTACTTGCACTCCATATATCATAGAGCTCTGTGCTTAGCAATGACTAGGTCTGTGGGGTCGGATCTTCCTAAAATATTTGTGTACAGTGAGGTTTGTGTGAATCAAATCACACAAAGGCCTCACTGCAATAGCTCATGCTTGTCTGCATGACGTGGTACCATGGGGAAGTAAATCTCCTGTGAAGTCCAGTTTACGTCAATCACTTAGTAACATTTAGATGATTAATGTTACTTAAATGGGAACATGGTGGGGGGCCTCTCTTTAAGATGAAATCTGTTTTCCACGAAGTAAAGGGACCCTTCATCATCTGACAGCTCCTGTACTCTTAACTTGTACTGTAAAGGTTGCAATGTCAGTTGAAATAAGCATCATTTAGCATGTATTTGTGTCAGACTTACCCACAGCTTTCAGGGAGGTGTATTTGTTCAGTCCCACTGTGCTGTGGTTGCTGTGAGGCTGTGGAAGCCCTTGTCCAAATGGTCCATAAGCAGAGTTATTCAGCTGGTACTGTTCTGGTAAGAGATAGACAAAGAGTCAGTTGTAAGTACATGCATGCTTTACCTTTAAAAACAGTCTCACAACATATTCCTGTCTCGTTCAGACAACTTCAGCTTTTTAGTGTTTTAAATTGATTGTAACTGTGCTGCAGTTACCAAATGCAGGCACTAAATACATTTACGAGTCATGGCTTTGGGCCATGCGACTTTTTTTAACTGTGAAGTACAAATTTGCCGGGAGCAAGAATGGCCGACGCATCCTTACAGTAGCCTGTCAACTTGAAGCACTGCCAGTGCAAAGTGCCTATACTGTAGCACAGTACATGCGGCAACTTCTTTATTATTTGCCCACAGATTTGTTTAATAGTAATATAAAGTGAAATAATAAAGGTCTGCGTGTGCTGCCTGAAGGTTTTTACAGTTTCAGTTCAGATTATACTAATATTTCTAAACCAACATAATGAATTGTGGCTATAGGGACGCTCTATGGTCTGCAGCAGTATATACCTTTGCCTCATCAGAGGCAATATTGCATAAAAGACTCTGTACAGACCCACTGCATGTTCATCCAGTAAGCACTTCATTAAAGATGTTACACCATAAATGTACATTCAGAACACAGACAGCTACATAATTGTGAAAAATAAAATAAAATTTAATTTGTTGATTTGTGAATTTAAAACCTCATCAGATGCCAAAACAGCATTTTCAAGCTCTGGAAAGTTACTGTATTTTAAAATCTTTGATCATGAGAGTTGCAGGGTAGAAAGGAGAAATACCTCTTTGTGTACACTGCAAAGGAATGTGTCTTTGGATGAACTAATTTGATTGACCAATGGAGGGCCTTGCTGGATGATACTGCAGCCTAAGGGTTATGACACACCCAGCCAAAGCAACAGGCCACAGCATGCTGCTGGGCTGTCATTAATCGCTGATGAATGTAACTTCATAATGGAGAGATTTCACTCATTTAGAGGAGTTTATTATTGTTTTAGCCTCCAGCTTTTCTCACTTTTAACACATGCTTGATTTCCAAGTAATTGCTTTTTCCCTTGTTATAAAAAGCATTTTTCCTTGTCCATTGTTGTATTTAATGTTAGATATCCATCCATCCACGCAT